GGGGCCGTCTCAACCTCTCCGGGGGTGTCCCGATCTCACCGGGGCCATCCCGACCTCACCGGGGCAACACAAAGTTTGGCATTCTGTCTTTTGTTGGGCGGCTCCTTGCTGGTCCAAATCTCCAGGCGTTCTTGATAGCTAAATATCTGGTATGCTTGCTTGGATTTCGTTTTCTACTAAGTGCACAGACTGCTTGTCTGCCGTCTCCCAAGCGTCCCATCTGAGACTGGAACTGGTGGACGTGCTTGTGCGTTTGCTGGTACTGCAGTTCCAAGTCGCCGGCCCAGCCTGGTCCGGCTCCAGCTTCCTCCGAACCAGGTTCTGCTTCTTGAGTGTGTCTCTTTTGGATGCGAGGAGTTGAGATCTGCAGTTTGTTGGGTTGGGCTCTGTACTTGGTGCCTCTGCACATCCTACTCAGTCTCAGTGCTCTTCTTTCTTTCCTTCCAGTTGTAGAGCTTCCACTGGGCCAGCTTTCCCATGGTTCCGAATGATAGTTGTTTGTCCTATAGTTGGTGTTGAAGTCTGCAATTTGTTGGGTTATGCTTCAAAAGTGCAGGTGGGTCTTTTTGTGCCACTGTCAAGGCTTGGATGGGGATGTAAATTGGGTAGGGCGGGGTCTCCGGGAGTCACGGGGTGGAGCAAATAGCAATGGTGTCTCTGCGGCTCCTTGCCTCTCCGGGACTCTGGGACTTCTCGTCCCCTAGTGCCTGCAAGCAGCTGCGTGACAGAGCCTCCCTCGCTTTCCGACCGCTGCAAGGCCGTGCCGCCTCTCCCCGTGGGGTCTGGTGGCTCATGTTCCCGCCCCGAACCAGCTCAGTGGATTCAAGAGTTTGTAGAAGCGCTCCATTGATTTTTTTTAGAGAGAGTGGAAGGGAGGGGGAGAGACATACAGAGAGAAACATCAATATGAGAGATACACATTGTCAGGGAGTGACAATACATGGGAGTTATTTGAAAGCCATTCTGAGTCTGGACTCCCTACTCTTTGTAATAAAAAGCCAACTGAGGAGTTTTAATCAGAAGAGAAAACAGAGCCGTCTTACAAGAACATTCAGTTAATAAGTTTAGTATACATATACTAAGTGTCTGGTACATTTCTGGCCTTAAGTTTAGGTCTGGGTCCACATCAATGAGGAGAAGAGACAAGGCTGCTGCCTGCACAGAGCTTGCAGAAGGGGCAGGAGGCAGACCATGCCCTTGTAATTGGTGTGGTGGAGGCTATGATGGAGAAGCCTAGGGTATCATAGAGGCAGCTCAAGGGCCACTTAACTCAGTCCTGGTGGGTGAGGATCTCGGAGCCCTGAAGAATGGGTCATAGTTGTCCAAGTCAGATATGGGGGAGGGCAGAGCTCTGCAAAGGTGAAATAGCATAACTTTGGCATTAATTGGGATTTGAACTGTGTACCAGGCAGCCCTCTAGATAGCTCCTGGTCTTCATTCTCTTGATTGTGGGTTGAGCCTAGTGACTCACTTCTAATGAACAGAATAAGGCAAAATCGATGGGATGTCACATCTAAGATTAGGTAAAAACACGTTGGCTTCCATCCATCTCTTTCTCTGTTTTTCTCATTCTCTATCTCTTTCTCTCTTGCCTGCTCACTCTGATGGAAGGCAGCTGCCATTTTGTGGGTTGCCTTATGGAGAGGCCCACATAGCCAGGAGGGTGGCCTCCAGCGAGCAAAGAACCAAGGCCCTCTGTCCAACAGCCCTTGAGGATTGAATCCTGCCAACAGCCATGTGAGTAACCTTAGAAACAGACCCTTTTCCAGTCAGGCATGAAATAGGACTGCAGCCCCAGCCAACACCTTCACTGCAGTCTTGTGAGAGATCTTGACACAGAGGCACTCAGCTGAGCTGCACCTGGATTCCTGAATCACAGAAGTTTTAGGACAACTTGTTATGCAGCCATAGAGAACATACAAACTGTAAGGGGGCAAAACTACAAGTCAGAGATTTTATTCTCCATCCTGGTTATTCTCTATCCTTCCTGCCATGGGGAGCAATAGCTGTGGAGGACAGAAAGATTCTTCCCTTTAATTCTCTAGCTTTCCTTATCTTTTTTTGATGTTGACAGTATTACAGATGTCCTCTAATTTCCCCCCTTTTACCCTCCTCCTCCCAGCCCCTGCTCCACCACAGGCCTTCACCACACTATTGTCTGTGTTCACTAGTTATGCATATCTATACTAATAAAAGGCCTGTGGCCATGACGCTGTAATGCCGTCATGACCAAACGAGCAGCGCTCTCGCAGCGGGCGGAGCGGCCAGCTGAGGCAAGCAGAAGTGGAAGTGAGCTACTCGCACAATTTTGTGCGTGCTGGGCCTCTAGTATGTATGTAGGTTCTTTGGTTAATCTCTTCCCATCTTCCCCCCTCTTCCCCTCTGAGATATGTCAGTACTGAACACCACACTCTGGAGATACTGCCTCAAGGTACACCAACCAGAAAGTGGTCTCACCTGTTTCACAGCAGGCTCTGGCGGTCTAGATGGGGTGAGGTTCAGTTCTTTTCTCCACTGGGAAAGAAATAGGCTTACAGGGTGGAGAGAGAAGGAAGTGAAACCCCAAGTCCCAGGAGTTGTCTTTGGTTTGTTTGTAAAGTTGAAATTAAGTGTTGGCTGATATATTTATAACCAAAATGCAAACACTTGAATGAATCCTGACTGTTTTATGGAAAAACAGCTACACTAAGACCCAGTGGGTGTAAAATCAAGTACCACTGTGGGGCATAAATACGAAAATACATCAGCGAGAACACTGAGCCTGGATCCTTAAGTCACTGTTCACCTACGTGGAGACCCGAGAATTCACTTGGCCTCAATATCAGGGTTTTCCATACCAGTCCAGGGATTCCACTAGCTCAGGTCCCATGCTTTGCAGTTACTTTACTTTCTTCAGGTTTTTGTGCACAACTAGCAGGTGGAATCCAGACTTCTTCCTGTCAGGAAAGAGCAAATATTAATGTTAAGATAAAATTGACTAAGTAGAGTTCATACCTACTAGGAGGTTTAAAGAAGGCTTGAAATATATAACTACCTTCCAATGGAATGTGTGTGTGTGTGTGTGTGTGTGTGTGTGTGTGTGTGTATTCCTAATATGCAAATAGGCCAAACGGGAACAACCAAACAACCAGTCGCTATGATGTGCGCTGACCACCAGGGGGTGCGCACGGAACATGGCAGGTGTTGGCTGTGGTGAGATGGTGGAGCAGGTGAGCGGGGACGCCAGACCAAGGTGGGGCACTGGTTGCTGTCATCAAGGTGAGCTTCTGGCGGTTACTGAAAATTATTTGCTCTTGTACACCACGGTCCCACTTGGTACTCACACCTGCTGCCAGCTCCTGGTACCGGCCCCAATCGCCCCTCAGGGCTTCTCCACCTTCCCCTGCTCCTGAGAGGTGATCAGGGCAGCAGCCACCACTTGCACCTGCTGCTGGTGCTGGCCCCAATCGCTCTGTGCCATCAGCGGGTACAAGTGGTGCCAGTGCCGTCAGTGCATGGGAGCGGCGGCAGTGGGAGTGGGGCTGCTGGCAGACAGGGGATGGGGGGCCACAGTGGGAGGGGCTGGGCGGGGGCGCGGAGGATGGGCTGAGACCCGTCCCTGTGCCCACTGTAGCCTCGCAACCTACAGTTCCTTTTAAGGTGCATGAATTCGTGCACTGGGTCCCTAGTGTGATCATAAAAGAATTGCTGATGTTTCCCTTCCTGAGTTCCTGGACTCCACTTGTTCTTTTTAAAAAAAATATATTTTATTGAGAGGAAGGGAGAGGGATAAAGAGGAAGGGAGAGGGATAGAGAGGAAGGGAGAGGGATAGAGAGTTAGAAACACTCATGAGAGAGAAACATCCATCAGCTGCCTCCTGCACACCCCCTACTGGGGATGTGCCCGCAACCAAGGTACATGCCCTTGACCGGAATCGAACCTGGGACACTTCAGTCCACAGGCCGATACTCTAGCCACTGAGCCAAACTGGTCAGGGCACTCCACTTGTTCTTAAGAGGACTCTTTGAACACAGTTTTCAGTGTTTTAAGAAGTAAGGAAAATCATATAGTTATCTCTGTATGGCCACACAGGCTAACCAAAAGGTCTTTTTTTTCTTCTTCATGGAAACATCCTCTCATAGGAAACCAAATCCCACTCCCTCAATTTTATGGAACAATAATTGACATAATAGTTTAAAGCATGTAACAATGGTTTGATATATACATATATTGCAAAATGGTTACCACAAATTTAGTTAACAGCTATCATCTCATATAGTTACAATATTTTTTCTTATGATGGAAATTTGTTCTCTTAGCATCTTTCAAATATACAATGTAGTATTGATAACTATAGTCACCATGCTATACATCCCCAGAACTAACTTATCTAATAATTGAAAGTTTGTACCCCTTGATCACTTTTACCGATTTTGCTCCTTTTCCCCAACCACAAGTCTGTGTTCTGTATCTGAGTTTGAGGAAATAAAATTTGTTATTACATAGTAAGAATATTTTTTTAGGGATATAGCATCTTTCAAAACTACAAATGAAAATAAAGAATACATTATATTTTTTACCTTGAAGAATAGGAATCATTAGTTTTGATCATCTCTCTTACTTGAAAGATGAGAAAATAGATTGTGTGATGTCAAGTTCCAGCTGTTTTGTGGCAAAACTCTGTGTTTAGAGTCAGGAGACCCTCTTTTCCTGAGGTGTGGGGACCTAGCTATCCCAACAAAGATTAAGAGGAGGTGGGATATATAGGGTGTCCCAAAAATGTATACACTCACTTTGACTAATTATAACGGCAGTGTTTACATTTCATTTTCAAAAATTGATCTATCAGCTATTAAAGGGTGAGTACATTTTTGGGGGACACCCTGTATCTCTGAATTACGCTGTTTTTCTGTGCATGGCCCCCAGGGGGCGCAGACGCCTTTTGTACCACAGATGGGAAACTCCACCTAGCTAACACCTGGGTAGAAGGAAGCATTCAGGACCAAAGAGGGTTCAAACAGCATGGCCACTCACGGACTGTAAGTATCTTTATGGGAGGCGATGAAATCAGCATGGAGCACACGCTGAGATAGCAGAAGAAGGCAAAAGTCTGTTAGAATTACGAAAAATATTACAGCCCTTTAACCTGAATGCATAGAGCAGATTCTTTTCTTGACTTGAGAAATGAATCTTCGGACTGTCAGACTGTCAGTCCCATTTATGGAGAGCCAGTCTTGCTGGGTATGTTATTCCCAAGAAGGAGGACAAATAGGGAAGAGAGAAGGGGGAGGGGAGGAGAGAGAACAAAGAAGGGGGATAGTGTGAAGACCGCACCTCTTTTCAGAAGGTATAACTCACCTGGGAATCTGCACCACGTAGGAAGCGAGAACGACTTAAGCTTCCCAATAAAAAATATTTTTTACCTACAACCTTGCTCTATACTTTACCAATCAATCATTCCTCCTCTGTCACAGTGGGTATTATCCCTGATTTATAGATATGGAAACAGCCCTCGCCCCCCCACCCCCGGAGAAATGGTGATTTCCCAGTTGTACAAATTGTCAGTGGCAGGTGTTCTGACTTCAACATTGAACTGCTTAACATGTCTGTGAAGGGTCCCGACTGCCAACATCATGAAATCCGAATTCTTCCTTCCAGCCTGCCCTTTCGCGTCTCACTTCCAGTTATTTCCTCTAGGACAGCGGTTCTCAACCTGTGGGTCGCGACCCCCTTGGCGGTCGAACGACCCTTTCACAGGGGTCGCCTAAGACCATCCTGCATATCAGATATTTACATTACGATTCATAACAGTAGCAACATTACAGTTATGAAGTAGCAACGAAAATAATTTTATGGTTGGGTCACAACATGAGGAACTGTTTTTAAAGGGCCAGAAGGTTGAGAACCACTGCTCTAGGACCACCTTCTATCAGCTGTTCAAATTAGGATATTAGAATGCCCCTCTCCCACCCATTATAGCAGAAATCACACTGGGTTAGAGTTCTTTGTCTACGATACTTTGTCCCCGCCCCGCAATGAATGAGTCTTTTGACGGCCGGATCCTAATACAAAACGTGGCACAGGTAGCGAATGGCCGTCGAATGGAAGCGAATGGAATTGAGGTCAAATAGACCTACTCGCTCTTCTCCGCCCAGCCGGGGGACCTACCGGCACACGGTCCTCCTCCTAGACTTCTCCGCTCCCTAGCGGGACGGGGAGCCAGAGCAGGAGGAGTTCGGGTAGCCGAGGATGGCGGGGCGGCGGCGGGGCACGGCCCCTTTAAGGAGGAGCGCGGGGCGCGG